GGGCCCTCACGGACATTAGCGTCGCACTTACTTAGTGGCCAGTCAGAGTGCTTTCATGTCATCCATACACTATCTTTGCATGTTGTAGAAGGCTTGCTACAGTATGCTGTGCTGTGATGCAGTAACCAGGCTTCCGGTTCTCACTTGTTTCCTTTCTTGATGGCAGCATTCTCCCACAATTTCTTGGGTGATGCAATCTTTTTTTTTTTCGGAAGATTTAACTGTTCTTCCCTCTTTTGGGTCTTTTCCGTGTACAGGGCCCACATGCGTAAAGGTCAGACGCTCAGACGGACAGTGGTGCAGGGAGGTGGGCAGGGCAAACAGGTCCTTCTTGAACAAACAGATGGTCCCACAAAAGCTTCCAAACCACACGAACTCCAGCAGCATCTGCACCAGTTATTTCACCACTACTATGAAGAACACCAGGAGGACCATGACGACGACGATGACGAAGAGGAAGCGAAACAGTCAAAGAATGTGTAACACACTCCCTTGCTACACAAATTATCCTATGCATTTGCCACATGCAATCCCAGCGTGCACCTCAAAGCTACCACAGTCTTCCCATTCGAGTCCTGAAAGATTTGAAATTATTTTCAGTTTCCCTCCCTCGTGATGTTACATATTCATTTGTTTCTTTGTTCTGACGTTGTTGGGTTTGTTGGTTTTACTTTTGCCTTTTTTTTTTTTGTGACCAAAGAATATCTTTTCTGATCAATTTTAGGTTTTGTGTCAACATAGTCAACATGTTTTCGTCTTTATTATGTGGTAGAGCAACAAAAAAACATCAGAAAAACAAGACATGCTATCTAGCCCACACTGAAGACTTCACCCCAAAAAAGACTCTCCTGAATGGGTGCTTGAACTTAAAAAAAAAAAAAAAGATTCACGCTACACTGCCTCTCACCACCAGACTTAGTGAGATCATCTCGGCTTGGAAAAAGCACTCTGCTAGAGTCAGATTAAACATGTGTATTTATTTAACTACTACCGCTGCTGCTGTTGTGTTTTTGTGTAGTCTTTGTGTAACGTGTCTTTCGGGCATTCTGATAGTATCTAACCTAATCTAGATTATACTGACATCTGTAGCCTAGGAATAATTAATCAATCATGTGAAGTAGGACAGGCATGACTAATCAACATTATGATCCCGGCTTTGTAGTGGTTCTGTCCATTTAGCAACACCCCGGCCCTCACCCCCCACGCGTCTAATCCATTTGTTTTATTCAAGCAGACTTTTGTTGGCACTGCATCCTAAATTATTGATCACGGCTTTTTTTGGAGTGAAGGGTGAGTGTGTGAGGAAGTTTCACTGTACTGTTGGTCTATTATGTTGTTGGTCCATGCATGATCGCTTTGGCGTCTGGTTGATTTTAGATTTTTTTTTTTTCAAGCACATTTTACGTCTAATTTTAGAGGGTTATTTTGTGTAATATTTTGTAGATTTTTAAAAAATCTTAGAAAAGGAGGTAAAAAGGTTGTTAAATGAGCCTTTTGTACCATCAGTGTCTCCATTGGATTCACATCGCACACCTAAATTCTGACAGCATAAAGTGGTCTTTTTTTTTTTTTTTTTTTGCCAGTGACAAAAGCTATTTATTGGAAAAGAATAGCGCACGTCGCTGTTGTAAAGTGATGTCGGTTCTGATGTATTTATTTATTTATTATTAACATGCTCGTTCTGTGTTGAGTGTGCGATTGTGCGAAAAAAGTTCCTTTTTTTGAGAGTGACAAAGAGAGGGTGTACGCAAAGTATAGATACAGATTTATTTGACACAACCTGTATTTGCACCCGTGAATGTCAGGATGAAACGGCTGCGTGCGTTTATTGCACCTGCTGCGTGACAGTCAAGTCGAATTTTTTGTCTAATTCTTTAGCAGGACAAATGCATAGTACTTCAAATTACCAAGAACGTTTGAGAGCTTCAATCAACCGTTATTCCCACTCCGTAGAGTATCGCTACTGTATGGAACTCAAACATGGTTTTTTTTCACTTCACTATTTACTTTTGAGAAGGGAAAAAAAAAACTTGGGGAAGATCACTGTGACAGGTATACCGTACATTAAATTTGAAAAAAGAAATAATTATAAATCAGCACCTCCTTCTTTTCTGTGATGCAGACAGTTATATACTCATATGATGCATATGTATAAACATCTATAGGGGCATGTATTGCTGTTCAAAACTCAAAAAAGATAAAAATAAAATGGCTGCAGTGTGTTTATGGCTGATAGAGAATAAAAGTCTACAACGTACGTGTCTTTTGGTGCTCATCTTTTCGATTTCCTCTTGTTTGCTGCTCCACTACGACAAACATGATTCCAATACAAGTCCGTGTCACGTGACTACATGTCACTTTCCCATATTTTAATGCCTCTCAGTGTGTCTGCTGAATATGTTTCCTTGACTAAACACCGAAGGAACAATTTAAACACACCCTCGATGTAATATATATCAAATATTGACCAAAAATACATTCAAGATCACACGGTTTAGCTGATTTATTTACTTCTTAAACATGATAAGCCAAATCCATTGCCAGGCCGGCAACAGTTCCACACCAGTTAAGGGGCTGTGCATTGAATTGACATCGTACGCTTCATCAAAAGGAAGGTTTTCTGTATTTTGCCATTTAAAAAAAAAAAGGTCGACAAATCAGTTGAGAAGATGATAAGGACACGTGTTTGTTGTCCTGCGAGTAATGCTCGAGGGAAATATCCCTCACATCTGTTGTCTGACTCCGCCTTCAAATCTGTCATGCGAGTTTAGCAAAGTTGACAATTGATGCGAAGGCGCCAACTTTATCTTCTTCGTCATCATGTCTGTGCAATTGGCAATGAGACACGCTGGGAGAAAAAAAACAGAAAAGCCTATACGTACAGTCATACAATACACAAGTACAAACATGAAAAAAAATGAGCTTACTTCCTAAACATGTTTATACAAAACCTAAGAAGTGCTTTTTTTGTTGCTGTTATCTCCACCCTTCCCCTCCATACGCAGCTATGAACTTTGTTGTGGGCTTGTTTTTGTTTTTTTTGTTTTTTTACAACAGTTCCTTGACACTGGAGGACAGTAGAAACATTTGGGACAGGACTGGTGCACAACATTAACAAACAAGTCAGTGAGTCCACAACTCAAACAGAAGATATTAGAGTTTCATATAATCTTACTCAAGAGTCCCCCACCGCCCCCCCTCCCCACATGCACTACACGATAGTCTTGGATGTTCATATATTACATATATGCTACATTCTCGTATTTCTTATATCACTGATATAAAGGCAAACAAATTCCAATGCAAAGTGTAAGCTCTGCTTTCTTTACATTTAAATTAGTATTATATGTCGAAGTCAGACAATTCAAACGGTATGACTTATAGCTCATAGCAAACATAAATATAGTTTGTAAATCGGATTTGACAAACTGGTCATTCCTCTGATAGCAAGAATAGCAATTTCAACATTTGTTTAGTGTTTTCTTCAACGATCACAATGTCTATATACATCACCAGAACTAAAGCAAGCTCAATTTGAACATTCGGATCTTCCAATTGTTTTATAAGACACGCACAGAAATACACCTAAAAATACACAATTCATTTCCAGGAGAGGTTACAGCAGTTGATTTCTAATCGATATATTTCAAATGCATACCAAAACATCTTAAAAAAAAAACAAACAAAAAAGAAGAGATGCTCATATGCTCATTTCATAATGTCCTAATACTGTGTGCAGCCACTCGCAGGTGGTTTCATAAGAATGAAGTCCATTGATTAAATGCCGTAACTGTAAAATGTATTCATACTTGTGTCCTGTGCCATGTCTTTAGAGGGTCAAAGGTTGCAGAGCAGTCGTCACGGGTTGGCTTAACTGCCCTACTCACACTGATGATGGGATGGGATGCTGTTCTTTCTTTCATCGCCATATGATATTCCATTAGCTGCAAATCATACAAAGCAAGAATTTCAAGTTGTGCATTTACAAACATACGAGTACAGGAAGTACTTCATCGCAATACCAAAGAAGAGAAATGTGGAGTGTAATTTAGGGACTATTTATGGAAAATACGACACGGCTTTTCGCCAAACAGTCAGCAAAGAAAGAAAAAGGCGGAGGAATTAAAATCCCAGCTGTCTGGACAGCAGTCACTTTTCACTTCAAACGCGAAAACCGCCACCAAAGGAAGCATCATTCAGGGTGAGTGTCGTCATGGTTGAAAACAATAAATTCTTCCAAGAAGGAGAGCTGGTAAAAGAGGCATTCGTTGAAGCATCTGACAATAATTTGACAAAGTTGCACTGTACTGGACTTAACTTGACTTGACTCCTTGTTCCGAGACTTGGAAAAATAAACTCAGATAATTACAAAAAATATATGTAGTTAATTATTATGTGTGTTGTGCAATATTGGCTCAATCGATTATGCCAGGTACCTCAGCATACAATTTACATACAAAGAATCCTAAAAAACAGTGTACAGTATGACGAGCACACCCTGAAACATTGTCATGACTCTAAATTGCCACTCGAGGGCAGCACAAACAAGGTTTTCCACGGCTGTTTTTGGGTGCTGTCAGGGTCAGTGAGTGTTTCTTACTGGGAGGGGATGCTGGGTGAGCCGGAGCGGTGGAAGTGGATGTTCTGCCACTTGCCATCACGGCGGTGCCACACGCGGGTCTCCTCGGACTGCATGGTGCGCGGCATGCCACCGCCGTCCATGTATTGGGTCAGGCGAATGTAGGCGATGCACGCCGCGTTCTCCCCGATCAGGTGAACGTGCGGGTTCAAGAGAATGGTGTGCACTGGCTTGTTCCCTTTAGACAGGGCTGCAAATCAAGCAGTGCGAGCAAATGTCAGAAATACGTGAATAAATGTTTGATGACTTTCTTATAGGCGCACCAACACGAGCACATACACTATATAAAAAAAACCTGTATCAAACTCAAATTACAGCTCGGCAACATGGCTTTAACATTTAATCTCTGATAACTCTCCCTACACCGCAACATTAAATTTATGATTTTATTCAGAAAGCAAATGACAGTGTCAGAAGACAATTCAAACCATATTACTTTTCTTTTCAACCCTTTTAGGATTCGCTTTATTTCTCCCCAAACAAAATTTTAAAAATCAAAAATGTTTCCCCCCCCTGAGCATCAACATGCATCAGCTTCAGAAATAATGTTTTCTTTTTTCTTTTTTTACAGTAGAAACACATGCTTATGCTTGGGGGGAAAATTCCTTTTGCTAAAACTTGTAGACCACTGTTTAAAAGTCTGGGATCACTTGAAAATGTCCTTTCGATTGTATTTATTTTTTTTAATAAAAGCACAGTTTTTTTTATTTCAATTGAGAAATCGCTAAATTAATTCATTAAACTGATTCTTTTTTTCGATAGTGTATGCAACCTCTCAAGCGCGCTCATGTTCTTTTCTCAAGTCCAAATGAGGCAAGGACACCGAAGAACAAATATTTGCGTCTTCTAAGCATATTCCTCAGGTCAACATTTCAAATGTGAATAAACATTTGTGCTCACACACTAATGAGACCTTTGATAAGGTTTGGTGTGAAAAACCAACGGGCTCCTTTCTTGTCGTACAAAAAAAGACATACGGTGTTTGTTTCTTAGTGGGAATTAAATTCTGTCGTCCTTTTTTTTTTTTAAGTAGCTCATAGAGGGGTTGCAAAAGTTGGCAACACTGACTCTGCTTTTGTAAACTAGCTCTCCTGTTAGTGTAAGCAGTGAACATCCGCCAGGACGCACTTGAAACTATGGAAATTACTCAACAAACCTGTCCTGCCCAATAAAACCAAATGAATGGTGAGATAGTTTCACTTGCAAGCCCGAACTCAAATGCAGCTGCCACTATTGAGAAACCAAACACCGGTTGTTCCTTACAAGCAACGGCAACTTGATGTGGGGAAAAATGAGTAACTCTGTACGGTATGATGTTGATGTTGGCTTGCAAAGCCAATGAGGTTTCTGGGACATAACCAGTTTATCTGAACTATTTTTACCTCGGCTGCAGACATTTCACCATTTATAGCAACAGTCGTAATTCTTTAGGGATTTTGATCCCAAGATCTTAGCATACCTGCGGCAGCTGTGATATGATTACAATGAATCGTGACACAGAGACAACAAAGTAACGCTATCGATTATATTATACACTATGACCATGGAGCCTACATAATAGGCTACACTTGTTGTATCTGTTCTTTTATTTTTCAAACTATGCTTCCATTATTGTACTGAACCCCTTGAGGGACAGCGGTTACGACAGTGGACAGCTTATCATGTTATCAGGTTGCAGGGTGCATGAAAGGGTTCAAATGCGTTGGCCCGTGACGCTTCACTTTTCAAATCTCAGGGAACTGCGACTTCCTTTCCCAATTGCCAAACACACATGGTAGTTTAATTCAACACTCTAAATTGCCCACAGATCGAAATGTGAATGTGGACGGTTGTTTTTCAAGACAAGTATGCAATTGACTGTTGACCAGTCCACATTTTAGCACACCTTTCTCCCAAGACAGATACTGCAGGCTACTGTTTGGTTTGAATGTTGGGTCAGCGAGTTGGCGCTCCTGAGCCAACATCTAGTTGCAACATATTTCACCGTTCTGGCTTAAATGGGCTGTTTAATTTAGATGACGTGCAAAATGCATTTTGTCCGCTTGATCAAGCTGCTTACACTGCACTTCCAAGAGGTCATCATCATTTATATTCGTGAACTGACCATTCTCAAAGTAAAAGCGGTGGAAGTCGTGTCCTTCCACCAGATTTCCCAGTGCCTCCGGTTCAAAGGAAGTCAGACCGGGATCACAAATCTTCCTGTTGCGGAAAAGACGGAAGAATGAGCAAAGAATCTGCACACTCGACAAGTCATGATCCCTGCACGGCCTGGAAAAAAATGACTTACGCATAAGCCTCAAAGTCTCCATTGTTGATTGACTCAATTAACTGCTCGGTGACTTTGATAATTTCCTGTTTGCGAGCTGAAACAGAAGATCACAAGACAACCATAACTGCACTAAACGGATGTGAAATGACTCAAGAGCGGGCAAATACGGTTCTAAGTGAATCTAATATCAAATATGCCTCAGATGATGGTCTGCTCTAGAAGTTATTAGAAATGGAAGGCACTTAGGAACATTTTTTTTTAATCCCTGGTGTTCCTCGTATATGTATCAAAGCAGAAAGCCTCCCACGACTAATAACAACAGAGGGGTCCGGAATTGACGATGACACACAATTCCTTTCACCCAACAAAATACACAAAATCAAACTATGACTATTTGACTGAGGAACATGTTGAATTACCTTTAGTGTTATTGGTGCAGGCTGGGGGATATTGAAAACATGACTTATTTCATGCAACAAAAAAAGCATTTGTTATAAGGTGAATATACTGCATATACACACTAGAGCCCGACCGATACGGATCTTTTGAAGTTGATGCTTGTTTTATGTTGTCTTGAGTGGGAAGAAATTTCATCCGTGCTGTATGTTGCAGATACAGCACATTTGACAATAAAGTTGTACTTGACTAGACTTGACTTGACTTGATGCGCAGATTTTGGTTATCCTTTTCAGTTGCATGGCACAATGCATTTCATTCATGAAGTCATTGGCATGAATCCTTATCATACATGTGTTTGTGTTACCAGTAGATGATGTGAGTCGTATTTAACACATTTATGTTCTATTCATGCTGCTCTCTGCTTTATTTTATTTAATTCTTTTTTTAAACTGTACTTTAGGTTGTGTGTGACAAAGTGACAACCAGGGCAATTCCTCACGCAACTTGTATTGTTCACCTAAGCATTGTTTGTAAGATTTGCTTTGTTTTGAATGACGAGTCCATAGAATGATCTGATCAACAAATAAATAAATATATATATATATATATCGAGATATATATATCGAGATATATATATATATATCGATATATAGATATATAGATATACTGTACATGTGTGTGTACAGAGAGAGAGAGAGAGAGAGAGAGAGAGAGAGGAGAGAGAGAGAGAGACAGAGAGAGAGAGAGAGAGAGAGAGAGAGATGTAGATATGTGTGTGTATTTTTTTAACCCATCAACACATTATATGTACTTATATGGATAAGGATATAAGTTTGTGTAATAGATGTATTTGTAATAACGATACAACCACTGTAAATGAGTATGTAAAGGTAAAAACAATCTGCAAGTATTTGATTTTGGCAGATGTTTGAGGGGCCATAATCGGCCGATTTAATCAGCCGGCCGATTATTCGGTCGGGCCCTAACATATACGTTACTTTGGTGAGCACATATGGAACAGTTAATGTTAGGGAAAGGGGGGAATAGGGTATGTCAGAGGACATAGGCATTTTTCCCCTTCAATAACAATACAAAAGAATGAAGCTTTGAAGCAAGGGAAGTCGTCAAAAAAAAAAAAGATCAACATGGAAAATGGAGACGTCAACACAGATCATCATAGGAACACGATGTGATTTTGAGGCACTTTACATTTGCGTGAGCAGTTTTCTTCCAGTAGCTGGCTGGGTGACACAAGAGGAACCAGGTGGTGCATCCTCCCTCCACACCACATCACAACAGAGGGACTTACTTTGAAATGAGGAGGTGGGAGTCTGCCTTGACTCAGACATCTGTGAGGAACGGCTCTTAGAGCTCAAGATACCGCTCACTAAGCTGCCCAGACGAAGGGCTGCAAGAGGTTGCATGGGGGAGGTGAGCGAGTGGGTGGACAGGGTGTGTTTGTGTTTGTGTGGGCAGAAAGGATTATGCGGGAAAGGAAAAAAAAAAGATTCTTGGCAAAACATATGAAAGGAGAGACAAAAAGTAGCGGCATGTATGCAAATTTGACGTCGTTGCATCTGTGATTCACATAAACCACTACTGATGAAAAGAATGCAATGCTAAGTGGAAAACAAGGTGCGTTGCACCGTCATGTTGGATGGTAAAAGGAAATAAAGGAAAGCACGCAGTGGGAAAACGCCGCGTGAACAGCGCGGCTACTGACTGGCTGCCATAACCCCGCAGCGTAGGTGTGAAGTGTGAACCAGTGACAACTTGTCCTACCTTTCACGTCCTCGTCTTCAATGGTGGTGTTGGCACTCTCAATGGACTCCTTAACAATAACATTTGCATTCATTAACAATAACAGTGGACACGTGGGGCCATTCAAGTGAACGCAATGTAATTTTGTGAGAAAAAAGTTCATAAGATGACAATAAAAGTGTCATGTCCCCCGCCCCTCCACAAATGTTGAACTGTATTTCAAATAAAAGAGGTACTGCCCCATTTTGCACTTGATAAGATATTTTGTTCGCCTAATAGCATTAATATGTGTCATGTTTTTCATAAAAATGTTCTTTTTTTCCTCTTTGTGTCTGCGGAAATTTTCAGTCACTCACGATCCATCGCAAAACTTGAATCGAAGCAACCGGACGCTTTTTGTTTTTTGAAATCGTGTTTTGTCTTGTTTTCCCAGAACAGGCAAAAATAATTCAGGCGATGCTGCTATCAGGCAAACGAATGATGTTTTTGAAAAGAACGAAAAATGGCGAAAACGTTACCTTGTTTCCATCCACAGGATTGTGGATCACAGTCGTCTGAGGCTCCTAAAAAGAGCATGTGAGAACATGAGTGACTTAATTACCACATCCATCATCATCATCATCACACCACAGACATGCCTTTTAGCTATCAAAAAACATGAACTCAACAGCGTAATAATACTTGTGGTGTGTGTGTGGTGTGCCTAACGCCATATTTTCCACCATTACTGTATTACTATAGTAGTAGTAGTCGTCATAGTATAATAGCAGTAGATTAGGAAGGTTAAAGGCAGTCTTCTGTCTATCTATTCTATCCATCTATCGAATCAAATGTCTTGGCTTTTGTAGAATCCCTCCCACTGGCCAACTCTGACCTCCTAATCACTCACCCAGATTACACTAGATTATAACATCCTTGTGTGTGCATGCGCATGGGTGCGTCCACGCGTGCGCATGTGTATTTGAACACGTAGAAAAGAACAGAGAGCAAGAGAGTGATGTGTGCCCCCCCCCCAGTGTAATCGGCGGATAGCAACTAGGAGCACGGAGTCTTTTGACGTCATGCAGAGCGGTGGTCATGTGACCCCCGTGCGCTCGAACAATCACAGCCACAGACACAGAAGCAAACCATTGGGGAAAGCACACCGAGCCAAGGAGGCGCCAATCGCAAAGCAGCATTCACAGAACATGCCTTCTCGTCATGAATCACAGGCAAACACCGATGAAGAGAGTATTGACATACATGACCCCGAATTAAGACATGCGTGTGTCGGTGCATATGAATGGAGAGGGGGGAGAGGCATTCTCTCAGAGAAAAGTGCTTTTGAGGTAGAGGCTGTCACTGACTACAGATTTCAAAACCACACCAATCAAAGCTAATTTATGGGCAGAGAGAGTAGAGTGAATTTCTTAAGTGTCCAACATGCATGTTTTTCTCATTCAAATGTTGCACAGCCGTAAACGCTCTATAGTTCATTCAGGGAATAGCCCAAGCATGACCTACACATCTTTGCCCCATCAAATGACCCCAGCGAGTGAAACGGCCGCGACATTAGGTACAAATGGAAATCCAAATGAGGTCCGATATAAGAACTGTATCAAAAGTCACTCGAACGCAATTACAGAGATGACAATCGTCATTGTGAAGACATTCCTTTCCCAACATTGCATGCTGGCTGTGTCGCATCGCAGCGAGAAGACTTTAGGATGTAAATAAATCATATGAAAACATATTATTAGGGCCAATAGTAAGATGACAAGAATCAAGTTGAAAAAAATAAAATAAAAACAAAAATTACCAATTTTTGTCATTTTTTTTTTCACAATGAAACGTTTTCAATTATGATTTGTAAATATGTTCATATACTTCAGACAATCACCCAACAGCAATGACACCTCTCACAGTTTTCGGCGTCACACCTACTGTTACATTAATACCGCAATCAGTCTTTGACTCTGTATTTGAGATACAGTTTATGTATCGGGACTCATCGAAACGTGCGTGCGCGCCTAATGAAGGGACATTTAAGCGCGTTATCAAGTGAAATGGTCACAAGAAAGTCTGAGAGCCAACACAAAAAAAAAATTGATGTGAGACAAAGGTGAACCTGTACCTCATCCACACTTGGGAATGAGAAGGGTGAGGGAGGAGTGTGGGTGACACTTGGTTGTTTATGGAATGCACACATTTGTGGATGAAGGTGTGGGTGTGGGTGTGGGTGAGTGTGTATACCAGTGCAGGGGCAGGGCCAGTGTCTTTAGGACTGGTCGCTGTGTTTGCTTTGTTGTTTACCTGCAAGGGGGCAGTTTAGAGGGAATGTGACACTCATACACACGCACACAAACACACACGTGCACTCTCCCATTTTTTGGATACAACCTGATCACCGGCCACAGTCACTGTTCTAACTTATGAGTCCCAAATCGATCACCTTCAGTGTGTTTCATAAAATCTATTTGGTGAAACATCTAAACTGAGACAAATCCTGGAATTTGAACTGGCCACTGGAACCGCCGCAGATCTCATGAGACCCCAGCAATCTCCCAAGACTTCAATTTATGCTGCAAGGCTTCAGCACAGTGATCATCGAAAGAATTAACTCTGCAAATGCATTGTTCTTTGTGGCTTAATTTATGTAAGGGGACCAATAACGGCAAGGAGTGTCTCTTTAATGGAAAGATGTCACCCTGTAAGGTTCCACTGTACTTTGAACAAATCGACTGTGAGTGAGTACATGAGAAGATACATAATCAAAAATGTTACTTGCTGATTTATGACTAATCAGCATCACCAGTTGGTTAGATCTGAAGAATGAAAAAAAAAAAAGAATCATCTTTAAATCATCTATATTTATTATTAGGTAAAAATATAGTCAACGCGTCCTTTTTGGTGAAGTCGTTTTTCCTACTGTGTGAGGATTCGTTTAATTTTTCTGGAATGGGATGGGGTCACATGGATGATGGATCAACTCCCATCTTAATGGACATTGCAGTGTGATAATCTTGTCAGCCAGAGTGCGACCAGGAGAAGAAAAGAAAAGGGTGATCCTACAAGAAATGTACCTCAGCTAAATGTGGTCTGCGTCACCACTGTGAGGTCAAGCAAATAAATAACCATCGCCCGCCGCCTGGCGTGACTTTCCCTGAATGATGATGTCGCTAAGTGCACAATGCATAATAATTGCCTTTTATGCTCCTCAGACACCAAACGTTCCATCAGAATTATGCATGAAACAGAGCTCCGCTTGGCGTATTAGCCACTCACCTTAACGCCGTCTGACTTTTTGTTCAGCAAACTCTTGGCTGCTGTGGGCCCAAAAGACAGAAAACAAGTTTCAGCACTAAAAGTGAGACGACGACAATCTAGAGTGTCAGGATTCGCTAACATGCAGCCAGCATCTCACTACATTGGGCTTGGATACAAAATCAACTGCGAAGTCTCAAATCCGAAGCACAGCATTTGCTTTTGAAGCATTTCGACAAGGTTATTTTTCTTCCAGGTATTAACTCACATGGATGCCGAGCGGAGTGGGTGTATTTAGCAAGCGATGATCTCCAAGACTCCCGCAGGAGTGGTAAGTTGGTGATTTGCACTCACATTAGCATGCTCTTATCCTCTACAGGGACATTTGTCATAGCTGAAAGAGCGTCTTAAAACTGCATGCTATATCCGGCTAAAGATTTTCCTTTAATCATGTAGAGTAGTAGCATTTTTTGCAAGCGTGCAGTACCAATCAATCATTTTGTCTCCATGCATACTGTAAGGGATTATTTGTTCGAGCTGAGAAAAAAATATAACAAATTAATGATTAGGCACATTCCTGCTTCCCAAAAAATTCTTACCTCAAATTGAAACCACAATCCAAACAAAAGGAATGAAATTTGAAAAAAAAAAAAAAAGGGAAGAAAATGATGAATAAAAAGTGGACACAAATGCTATGACACTTTACGGTTGAATTGAGAGTGAACGCATGCAAGCAAAAGACTGAGGGGGAAAAAAAAAAGGGAAATGTCATGAAAAAGAGAAATGCGTTATGGCACAGATGTACAGTACAGCTCAGGGAGAGATGACAAAGAAAAATGTATTCAATCTCGGTGTCAAGATAATCTTTGTACATAAATACTAAAACAAACAGATCAGAGGCATTCCAAATTAGGTTCAGAACTTACTGATTCAAAGGCTTTAATCACCTTTTCAGTAAGATAATACTGCATCGACAATTTAAGACCAAATGAGCAATATTTTTGTTTGTTTTATTCAGAGATGCCTCTACAGTTGTAAAGTGTCATTTACTTAAAAAAAAAAACAAACAAACAAACATCATCAACAAAGTAAATCTGCATTTGGACAATGGTGAAATTAATTTGATACGGACTATCGAAAACACATCCAGTCTATTCAAGAAAAAAAACGCAACTTGGCATTTGTAAAGACGCTTGAAGCAAAGGAAAAACTCTTTTTTAGTGTGTTATACTATTTTTAATTTCTTTTGCAGTTCAACTGTCAATATCTAAGGAACTTCATGATTAGAAGCTAAGCAAATCAAAGAATGAAAGTCTCAGAATCAATATTTTAGCGCGTGCCCAAGTTATCAAATGCATTGCACATTACTAACATCAGCGCTAGTTAGCACTAGCAAGATCATAGTTGTCCTGGCTGGTCCACGAGCATTACAAACCAGTCTTTCCCAACCTTCACTGCGCTACGGCATATATCCGACATGAGAAAATCATACCATCGAACAACACATTTTCTGTCAATCGGGAAGAGCATTGAATTGTTCTGCCTGTCACTATGTGATGCTGGTATAGATGAACAAAAATATCCTTTTTGAAAGATTAACTAAGTGAAACTGGATAATTCCCAATGGCACACCTGATCATCTCAGCGGTTGGAAATCACTCATATGGACCATTTAAGTACGGTATGTAACGACCAAGATGTTAACTATCCCACTTTCTTTCTAGGCCTTGAATAGCTCACTGAAAGAGACGTACCTGAGAAGTTTCTTGTGACCAGCAAAGTGGTCAGTATGGCCCCCTGCAGTGACAGGAAGGGACAGAAAGGACAGGCAATGATAACGGTAGGAAGGGAGAAGACAGGAAGACTGATTAGATCTTTACAGCAAGAAAGAGTAGTCTGCTACTGTGAGGGTTCCCAGAAAGTGAGTCATTACTTTTATGTTGTGTTAGAGGTGTCTTGAGGGTCAAAGACATAGAGATAGAAGTCAAAGATGGCTACAGGAGTCGCAGGAATAGAAAGACCCCGTCTCGCCAGACGTCTCACCTTGAGTTTCCTCCTGGCGTTGAATTTTTTCAGGCACTCCACAGTCTCCTGCCTATGCATCATGGAAGCTACAGTGGACCGTTGCTACGGGAAAAAGAAAATTTGAGAATTGTGAGACAGAGCAAAAAAATAAATAAGTGACAGCTATGCCTGTGGATATGGGACACATACGCAGATCCAGGGATGTTTGAGGGCTTCTGAAGCAGTGATGCGTTTACTGGGGTTGATGGTGAGCATCTTGTTGATCAGATCTTTGGCCTCGGGAGTTACGGTGTCCCACTCGGGGGATGGGAACTGTCAGACAATATCAAAGACACAAACATGGCCTACACCGGTAAAGATAATTATGTCAAATGTAATCAAGACGTATCAAAAAAACTGCTTGAATCATGAGTTGCATCATGAATAATGATGACCGATGAGCTTGTGTGTTTTGGATTAGACTTTGCAAAGCCAAAAACACTTTGGAAGAAAGTTTTTTGGACTGATGAGAGCAAGATTAACCTCTACCAAAGTGACATGAAGGCCAAATTATGGAGAAAGAAAAGATCTGCTTATGAACCAAGCACACAAGCTCATCTGGGAAGCGAGGTGGATGCAATGTCAGAGCCTGGGCTTGCATGGCTGCTTCTGGAGCGGGTTCGATAGTCTTTATTGATGATGTAAATCATGAAGGTAGCACCAGAATGAATTCTGAAGTCTAAAAAAACATTTTGTCTGGCAATTAACAGAAAAAACACCCAAACTACTGCAAGGGACTTGATCAGAGGGAAAAAGTGGAAGGTCTTCCACTGAAAAAGTCAAGTACCGGACCTTAACCCAATAGAGCATGTATTTCACCTCCTGAAGGGAACTCCACCCCCGCCCCTCCCTTCAAAAACAAACAAGAACTAAAAGAAGCTGCAGCAAAAGCCTGGAAAAGCATGTCAAATGAAGAATTCAAAAATCAGGTGAAGTCACTGGGTTCATGAATATTAAATTGAATATTAAATCACCATGACCATTTCACTATGCTGTATGTTTAGATAGTCCAGTCGTGAGTTGGTTTACATCACTGCCACGCCAGCCATATTGAACAGTGTGTGTGTGCTTGCATGCATATGATTGTACTCACATCATAGGCCCCAGCCTTGATTTGTTGATAAAGGCGGTGCTGGTCTTCATCCCAGAATGGAGGGTAGCCAACCAGCAGAATGTATAAAATCACTCCTAGGGTGGTATGAAAAGTGAGGGTTAAGACAGAAAGAGCAAATACTGCAGTGTATCTAAATCTGACTGCCCGGGGACATTAGAAAAAAATTAGGAAGCAATAGAAATCTGGAAGTTTGTGTTTGCTTATTATGTTCATAGCGGCCAATTGAAAATGAGTGAGGCTTGCTTCATTACATACAAACAGCAGTTCATTTACCGCAGGCCCACATATCCACTGGCTTCCCATATGGATCTTTCCTCAAAACTTCAGGAGACAAGTACCCTGGGGTACCAGCAAAGCCTGGAGAAGTGAAATAAAGTCATGGAAGAGATATGAAGAATGATCTATCGAGACTGTGACAAACCAACGAATGAATCAGTTTGGAAAACTGATTTGCGAATACTCACCAAACCATGCCTGCTGGTCCCCCTGCACCTCGATAGCCAGCCCAAAGTCAGCTAACTTGACAGCCGCCCCCTTCAGCTTACTGGCCAATAGAAGGTTCTCAGGCTGCAGGGGGGCGGAGTCAAACAGGTTAGAGGTGAAAGGTCACACACCCTTGCAACAAGAGGCCCCAAGACACGGATCTAAAACCAGATCAGTCCAACCAAATCCTAATCAAAAGTATTAGGGGTGAAAGAACTAAAGTGCTCTTAAATCTGTGCCTTGAGTGACTCCCTTGCTGCCACTTATGTTGTTTCGGGTTGTGGTGAGCTGAAGCCTGAAGGTGAAAGGCAAACTACACCCCGGACTAAGCACTACCCAATCAGGGGGCAATTGTGAATGTTACATTGACCGGGAATTGAGCAGATCCATGAAAGTCATCTATTTGAACCAATTACCAAATATTGAAGCAATTGCATCCTGAGTCGGGATGCATGGAATGCGCTCTACGAATACTGACCCACTCCTTGAGTCCATGAGTGGGAACAAAGTGCAATGAAAATACACAAGTGGTGTAACAGGAAGAGTGGGTGACAAAACGAGCGCCCACATGAACTGAGCACAAAAATCAATGTACAGTATGTGTCTATATAAGCATCCGCATACAGCCTTTGTCATGCCAACTCTCTTTTCTGATTGGCTGAAATAAATACCATGGTTCTACTGCCTTATAGAAAAGTCAGTTTCAAGTTTCCTTTAAGAAATTTGGTTCCTTTCCCATGAAGGGCAATGCCGGGTTCAACTCAATCAGTGTAGTCTGGTATAGAGTTTATGGGCATTTACATTGTCAAAACCTGTGTACCACACCAAAATCATTCACATTCTTAAATTTCAGTGATGTTAGAGATGGTCCAGTGCATTGACGGGTCAAAAGGGAATGGTCACTTCAGCGCGTCAACAAGAATGGAATGAACACAAAACAAAACTCTTTATATAGAACTTGGACTGTGTTGTTAGAATTAACTATTGGTTTGCGCAGATATGATGTCATACTATTTACATGCCATAAACGTACATCCATGTGAGAAGCATGAGCGGAACCCATGTTTACCACCCTAAGATGAACTGAACTTTGCCGCTTGGCAGAAACGCAGCACCAGATACAGATGCAGAAAAGGTCTTTTTCAACCTCAGGCCATTTTAGACGGCACCGTGTCATGAATTATACATTTTCTAACATTTCCAGAATCATCCTGTGAAATTGACGGGACAGACTTGGGCCTCAGTAGGACAAATGGACATGCCTACATAATATGGACTAATTAAAAAAAAAAAGCATTGAAATCTTCAAGTGCAAACTGGCGGATGATGACAGCCGTTAAGCATTATTCCGTTTCCTGTCGCGCATGTTCAGAACTCGCTAGAACATATTCACAAGTGCTTTCTGGCTGCCTCTTTCCGTCACATACAACCAACCCCGCGGGAGGTTTTAAGCATGCAGACGAGTGGCGGAATATTCATGATCAAGGAAAATCATTCAAATCACAGCATGGTTTTTACATAATTATGCAAATGGAGGTCCTGATTTGTGATTGCGCCTGTTCCTGTCACTCCGGCGCTACAATTCAGACACCAGCCTTGGCAAAGAAATGCAATAAAGCTTGTGATTCTCTTCGACTATTAAGAGCAGCTTTATCATTATTATTATTTATCTTGACAAGTATGTCTTGAGGCAAGGGTGGTGAATCAAGAAACGGATTCTAACAGCAAAACTGCTGCCAATTGATTAGTCTTCTAAACTCATCAGAAAAAAACATTTTTACTTTGCACATGGAAACTAAATTGATTTTAAAAAATATGATTAAATCATAATATTAACTATATTCAATTATTTAACTTGTAGCAAGGTAGCAAAGTTACTATGCACAGTGAAATAGAAAATGGATGGATGGGTCGATGAAATAAGAATGCGAGAGAGATACAAAATGTTTAAAAAAAAATTGTGTGCTATTTTTCTCACTGAATCGAGCATTTCCTCTGATTGAATCATGAAAATGATTCAATTAATCAAACACAGATGGTATCTTTTTGTGATGGAATCTGTTGAAACGAAGATGTGGATTGTTGTTTGCAACCGTTGTATTGACGACATACAGACAGTGGCCATTATATTAGGTTTTACGCATAATTTAATAAATAAAAAAATTGGATTTGAGTTGCCTTATTTGCCTGCAAATACCCATCAATTCAAAGCAGCGCTACGCCAGTGAACATTAACAACTAAAAACAATAAACATAATGTAAAAATGAATCTCTCTCTGATCGTCCCATATAAGACAGAGCATCACTATCTTTTAAAGTCTCCATTTGTCACGCTGCGCTCGTGCAGGATCTCATTCGAATGTGCAGGTGCACATCAGCAGTAGAGGTGGATCCGCCCCTACTGTCTCTTTGAATCTGTAGCTGTCTGTTACAGAAGGTTGGAGACAGTCACCAAGGACCACGGGGGAGGGGGACATACAAACCTTCAAATCCCTGTGGACGATCCCATTAACATGGCAGTGATGGACACTCTCCAGAATCTGTTGGATGCAGTGGCTGAGGGCAGAGGAAGAGCAGGAATAAGAATACAGCCACGTTATATAATAATACAGTATGTAACGGCAAGGACACGAAGAGGAGAGAGAGGCGAGGAAACAAGCCCATAGCAATTCATCACGTCCTCTATCATCAGACAGACATTTATGTGTGACGTTGTAGACAAACCAAAGCTACGGCACAAGAGATCCGCTCTCCCGTGTTCCGTCCTCCCACCGACTCCAGAGAAATAGCTGGAGCGGTGAGGTAGGCAGTGTATGATTAATACCGTAGGCTATATGTCGTTAATCACCTTTATAAATAGCTCTCTGAGATGCCTCCGAGGAGAGGCAGCTGCATCACACCTAAGAGACGACCATACGCGAAACACAGCGATATACACGCAGACCCGCACCGCAGTTGTTTCCTGCGGGACACGCACGACGGAGGCCTGAGACGAACGCGCGCGTTACCTGGCATCAGCCTCGCTGTAGTACTCGCGGGCCACGATGTCCTCGAAGAGCTCCCCTCCCGTCACGCTGTTGGACACGAGACAACATTTTCAGTGTGTCGCTATTCAACACAAAGACTCCTAAACCTCGGCTATCAAACACACGCTGCTCCATTTCATACGAGGTGTTGCACTTGGCCTAGTGAGAAACGTCTTATGATGTTGAGATTTTCGAGTATTTCATATTGTCATGGGATTCAAAAGATGTGCAAAAAAAATAAAAATCTCAAAAAAGAACACCATGATTTTATAGTAAAAGACTTGTTTACGTGTGACGAACAGGCGACTTACAGATCAAACACCAAATAGTGGAAGCCCTCCTCTGATATGCTGTCATGGAGGCGCACTGTAAAGATGAAGACAAAAAAAGAAGTGGAACTCAAAGATGGAAAAGCATTTTTTTTTTAAGACAGCAGTATTGTGCCTTTTTAACGTCAAGGGTTTTAAGGGTCTTCTGTCCTTTCTGACAATACATCAAAATAAAAACTAATGCCCGGAAATCGGGGGGTGATGTCATATTATTCCACGTTAAAAAAAAACCTCATTGGATGAATTACATAATTGTAAACGGTTTGTATGTGGTTATGCAGATATGTGAACTGTCTTGCGAATTCTTACCTTATTCTTCCTGGGATATTGAATCATAATAATATAGTGCTCGTGGGATGTCACAGTTATATATTTTGGCTGTTAAGAATGTGACAGGCAATCTAATTAAACTGGTTAAGAGATCATCAATATGTTGCTGCAATTGTTGCGGCAATTAAATCCTGGCTTGTCATTTGTACACTCTATGTGCCATCTTTATTTATAGCATAATACGTGCACATACATTTTAGTAGCTACCCGTGCTTAATTATCAAAGGACATCAATTGTAATATAAGATACACAAAGTATGTACAAGTTTGCCTATGGAGTAGTCACTTTTGATAGCCTGTCATAAAGTCACTGATTTAAGTATATTTTTGGTGTACGTAATGTGGTGGTGGTCTGTGGTTGTTTAAATATCGGATAAGTGGGATGTGAAAAGGGGAAAAGGAAATGGGTTCATGACGGTTTCAGAAGGAAGTATAAGTGTGAGGCTTCCGTGCCTGACGATGACTCAGCTGAGAGATTGCGCACATAAATCACATTAGGTACCACGTACGCACACAAACACACGTGATTTTTTATTTTTTTTTTGTCCCCCCTCGCACGCTTGCTGTCCAGAATATCCACGACCGGGAATCACCGCAATGTCTTTGTGCACATGTTGTCTTTCGAGAGGCAGCAATTACGGCTCACCAATGTTGGGATGCTTCAGTAAACGGCAGATCCTCGCCTCTCTCTCCAGCTTTTGATGATCTGAAAGAGAAACGCAAGCGACACAAACACAGAAAACAGAGCTATTTTTAGCACAGTGATTGGCTTTCTGAATCATCTGGCGTGGCGTCGGCTTCATTGTTGTCACCGTGTGTGTCACTGTGTTGTGGTGTGCGTGTGCATGCCAGGCTTGTGCAGCTCTTCCCTTATCAGAACCCAAGTGTTGGACAAAATAATGTGACCTGACATGTTCTTGGGAAAGGGCATTTAACAGACAGCACCGCAGTGTGGACATTATTGTCCCAACTCAAAGTGAGCTGCGTGTTGCTGTCTGCCCTCCGTCCAACAAGCTCATTAATTGATTCGTATTGTTTACCAGTTCATTGTATCAGTGTCTTTATTATTAGGTGTTGCTATCAAGGGGAGGCTCACCGTTAGGCAAAACCTGGGGTCTCGAGATTTCTAAGACCCCTTAAAATGTCTCAGATTAATGAAAACGTTTTCAATTAAAAGCAATTACTCTTGTTTTAGGATTTATTCCAAAGCTGAAAAACACATCAAAATCAGTTCATGTGACTCTCCCTTCTTATGCAATGGACTATTCTATCTTCTCACTTGCAGATTTGATTCAGGAAAATGCATATTGTGAGGAAAATGAAGTGGAGACATCCTAGAGGAGAAAGTGAAAGGAAGATATTTATTTCGTTATTTATTTGTAATCAAAGCTCCCAAAAGGTTTCATTTTTCTTGGTAACAACAATAACCCCGAGTGACAGACGCTCTTGCCAATAGCATTCGCGGAGAATGACACGATTTGTGCTTTTCATCACAAAGAGGTGAGTATTAAAGCAGGCACCCAAATGACTAAAGACGCGCCTGATTGGTATTCACTGCAGAGGCAAGCAGTGATGCTACCCAGATACTGTGGCATTATTATCACAAGCTAGGATTCCAAAGGGGTGGCAGTTAAGAAAGTCAAAAGATTTTAGTAATTCACTTAACTAAACATGACATATGATGAAGGCCTTGTTTCAGTAATGTCTCAGTCCAAAAAAGGGATGGGCAACTTCAACGATGTGGACCATAGAGCAACGTGTGCTTCCTAACTAGCTGCATGGCAAAAATGTCATTTTTAATAATGATAAAATATGTACATACACGACTTGGACCATTATTTTACAAATGTGACTGTATGAAAAAAAGCACTTGTGAAGGAAAAACTGCAAGCAATTGGCACGTGTGCATATACAAATGATGTGATTTCCGATTATTTTTTAAGCTCATTGTGAAAAGGAAAAAAATAATTTTAATATCCTTCTCATCCGTATGCGGAACTTTCAAAAAATATCTAAAAACGTTTGGGAAAAAATTCTTCAACTAATGGTTCGAAATAAGATAGAGATGCCACTGTTGATTCATTTTGTTGTAGTGGGATCATGATTTAATTCAATGTGCTTTCATGCCTTTGTGTATTCGAATGCATGATAAAAATATAGAGAATGTACAACATTTGTCTACGCCCATGCATTATTTTAATGAAGGGATCATTTTAGATGCAGCTCCTGCATTGCATAGGCAGTTGTAGAGTACTTATTGAAGACGCGAGTCAGTGTAGTTTGCTGGAACACCAAATCTGCTGATTCCCATTTGGAACAAACGTTTGGAAGGCGATGTGGTTAAAATGAGTGATGAAGTACGGTGTTGAGGCGACCCACTTCACAGTTTTGCCTCGGGACACAGCGAGCAAGAGAAAGAGGGAGGGAGAGGGAAAAAGAGCAGAGGGTTCTAGTTTCTTTCTTTTTTTTTTTTCGAAAATAAAATAGGACACCTATTTTTTACTCCCACCCTTTTCTCCTTCCTCTGCTCTTCTTCTTCTTCTTTTTTTTATAATGAGTTCAACTCAGAATACCAGCTGACTTCTTGGCATCATTAGTGTTTGTTTATGTACTGCATCTTCCCAGAGCAGCATGCAAAATTGAGAATGCAGCGTATTTACAGTAAAGCGTCAGGATGAAATATACAGAAAGCAAAAACGACAGGAGAAATGCTGAGAATAGTGCAGTTGAGACAACACCATCAAAACACAGATGCATTCTTCCCTAGCCCTGGTCGAGGAGGTGGAATTGTGCCAGCTGTTTTGTTAATTTTCCATTCATTATCCTTCCGATCATTTCAGTATGAACGAGCCATTCCTCTAATTAAAGAAGCTGTCCATGTTTCACTCAACATATGTGCCCTACAAATGTCTTTTATCGCTGCTTTTTATTTTATTGCATATTGCGACATTCTGGCGTATGCTGGCTTCCATGAAAGAAAATTGGAGGGGACAGCATGATTACTTACAGTTCATGTGACCTGCTTGATGCCGTATTGCTCTTGAGAACATCGCGAACACGATGTTGTTTGGGATGTAGCATCAACCCGAAAGATAAATGCGGCCAGGCCAGGCTGCAGGGGTGTCGCTGCAGGCGACAAGGGGCACTCAGTCATCACATCAGTGGATGATTAGTGGAACCCTTTAAGCAAGGTCACTTTCATCTCAGCCTTTCGCTGTAACTTAATGACACTCTATCCCTTTCGTATTGTATCCATTCATTTTCTCTTGCACTTGTCTTCTCATTAATATTGTGGGTGAGCTAGAGCCTACCCTGACTTTGGGCACATGCTGTACTTGTCACCAGTCGAGCAGATGTGATAAATCAATAGTAAATTCCACCGTATAAACCAAATTCTTTATGATCGATGACAATTATATGTCCAAGTCTATTTGCTACTATACTTTGAATCAGAATAACAGCGCTGATGCTCATGCGAACACAACATGAGAGGTTTCCTGGCTGATATACAAACATTATAGACCACGCCAGAGGGTTATGTGAGGCCACCAGGGCAATGAGAGCTACTTAATCTAAATTAGTGTACCAGCATGAGTTCTTATGTGGGTTTTTGTTTTTGTTTTTTTACTTCAGTGCTAATCATTACAACTTTGTAAGCACTTCCGGGCATGTACTGCAAATGTACAAAAGAGTAAATTCTTGGATGTTTATCACATACTGAAACTTCCTTAATCCATTTGTTCATTATCTCCCTTCACTTTTTCTCTTTGTTTTCAATCATCCACACAGGTAGTCCACCCCCCCCCCTCCCCCAGCCTGCTGGACATCTGTTGTCTAGCAACTCCACAACCAATCAGAGCTGGCAGGCATCTCCTCTCCTCCCTCTGCAGTGGAACCAGCCTTGCATGCAAATGGCCGGACGCTGAGAGTTTGCTCAAAACTATCAAACTCTACACAAGCGAAGACAGAGAAACCCAAAACAAAAGCCTTCTATTCCATAAAACACATCCATCCTTGAAGAACTTCTTATGCAAATGCTAACAATACGCAGTGCAGAGCAAAAGACTAGTTATAACTGTCTGGACCATACAAGAAACTCTGCAGAACTTGAGAATTTCGAAAATGAGATTATACTGCAGAAATTATTTTTGCAATAATTTGCCAATAAAAGTAATGAACTATAACACTTGCCATCTTTCAGGTATAATGTATGTTGGCAATCAAACAACTCGTTCATTTGCCAAATAGCAGCCAGTGTAGCGTGTGAAAGAACCATATACAGCCACAACAGCCTGTCACCTCCTCCTCATGCTGGTCACACCCCACTGTGGGAAGCATTCCATTCTTCAAGCAGCATTTGTCGCAGGTCAGCCAACGTTGTTGTTTTGGTCACTCTTGCACAAACAGCACATGCCCAAGCTGATACCGCAAGTGTTCATTGGGGTTAAGGTCAGGACTGCTGGCAGGCCTTTCCACTCTCTCCACTCCCAAACTTTGGAGGTCGTACTCTGATGGAGGCGAGTGTTGTTATCTTGGAAGATAGAGTCTGGTACCAGACTGTGGAGGCACTGCATTGCCACTGATTGCAGAATCTCATTTCAATATCTATCTGCGCTGAGACTGCCTTCAATGATGATGAGTCTCATTTTTTTTGTAGGTTTTGTTCGGGTTAACCTGGGTCATTAACCAAAACTACCTCATCAAATTCTCAAATACAACTTGATTCTTGCATCTGCAACTGCACTGCTGCAGTGTGTGTGTGTGTGTGTGTGTGTGTGTGTGTGTGTGTGTGTGTGTGTGTGTGTACGTGTGTTCTTTGCTATTGCAAGGTTTTACAGTACTTTGACTTCCTGTGAATCCTTTGTGACCATATTTAGTGTGAGAGAAGATATTATCTGACATGACGTGTCAGCAAGAGAAAAACCAGAGGGAGACAGAAACACAAAGTGAAGCACAGCAAACACTTGGCACAGGAAAGCACAGAATAACAAACAACCTCAAAAAAATGCATTCAAAATCTGAGTGGGGGGGCTTTGAATCACTAATATATCGCTGTCACATTAATCCAACAATGCTCAAGATTACGTCGTTATAAAGGCAAGCTTTCAGGGTTCAGAGAGTCATCATTAACAAGACTGGGCTAAAGTCTATGGGCATTTTAATTCACATAATTCACAAGCAAAGAGGAGACGAAAATTAATATATGATTGCTTGGCATTGATTACCGCTCTTAAAGTTCAAGCAGGATTCACGGCAAAATAACGCGAGGTCAGTAGGTGGTGAATTGCCGTTTGTGACAAAACAACCACAACGTAAAAAGTGAAGCATTAATGGTAATGGCCTAGTACAGGGCCCGAGAGAAAGAGAAGACACACAAAATGTTTGGTGGTGGTGGTTGAGTGATCCTCATTAGGGTCTGCTGCACCTTATCCCAGATGTCATTCCAAGAGGCAGGGTACAACCTGGACTAGTTGCCAGCCAAAAGGAGGGATGACCTATTCATCTTAACCCTTTCAGGGACAGCGGTTACTACAGTGGACAGTTTATCATGTTATCAGGTTACAGTGTGCATGAAAGCGTTAAATGACAAATCATTGCAATTTGTCATGCTTTGTCTTTCTTCAATATATTTGGCTATTCTCCCACTTTCATTTCTACCTCTTCGATGACCAAGTAAGTAGTTGATGAACAATTTCATATTCAGTT